AATCGAGTCGTTGCCCAAAATTCTACGGGCTGCCAAAGATCCATAAGGACGGGGTTCCCCTGCGTCCAATCGTAAGCGCCTTTAACTCACCATTATGCAAGCTGGAAAAACATCTGGCCAGTGCACTTCAGCCTATAGTGGAAAAGGCAGATTCCTATGTTAAAAACTCAGAACATTTCACTCAGATTTTAGGTTCTCTCAGGATGGACAAGGACGACATTATGGCAAGTTTCGATGTCAAATCCCTCTACCCGAGTATTCCAGTAGAAGAGGCACTCTTGCTTATAGAAGAAAACGAAGATCTTCCGCCATACATAATGGATCTGTCAAGGCATTGCCTGAAAAACGCTTACTTTATGCACAACGGGAAAATTTACAGACAAATAGATGGAGCAGCAATAGGATCATCTCTCTCACCTGTGATTGCCAACCTCTTCATGATTTACTTCGAAAAGAAAGCAATAGTGAAGGCAAATCTGAAGCCAAAACTATGGACAAGATACGTTGATGACGTATTTGTTGTATGGCCTTTTGGCAAGGAGGAGCTTTTGAAATTCCTAGATCATCTGAATTCCATTCACCCAAGGATTCAATTTACAATAGAACTTGAAGAGGATAACAGTCTGCCCTTTTTAGATGTGCACATCACAAGGACCGAAGATGGACACTTGGAACACACTGTCTATAGAAAACCAACACACACTAATAGATATCTGAACGCTAAATCTCATCACCATCCATCACAGATACAGGCAGTGGCAAATACATTAATTGCTCGGTCCTTCAGGCTCACAAACGAGAGGAACAGAGATAAAGAACTGAAGAAAATTAGTACCTGTCTTCAACAAAACGGATACCAAAGGCGCACCATCAGCAAGGCAATCAGTAAACAACAACAGCCGCAGCAGAGAGTGCAGGACGAGACCCAACGAAGATCGATCGCTGTCCTGCCATACATCAAGGGGGTTACTGACAAAATCGGCCGAATATTACGGACACACGACATATCAACGGCATACAAACCTGATCATACCATCGGAGCAATACTAAGAAACCCAAAACAAAAAATTACTCTGGAAAACCAAGGAGTATACAGTGTAGCATGTGGATCGTGCAGCCTGACGTATGTGGGACAGACCAACAGAAGGATTTCAGCCAGGCTCGAGGAACATCGTTTAGCCATAAGAAACAAACAAACAACATCTGCTTTGTTTCAGCACCAACATCAAACAGGCCATAAAATTGATTTCGGCACTTGCAAACAAATAGCTAATATTCCTGATTTTAGGACTAGGATTATACGAGAGGCCATCGAAATAGAAAAGTCCGGACACCTCAATACGAGAGACGACGCTCTGCATTTATCCAACACGTGGAGAACGATAATCAAACAGCAGAGCGATGCGCAGCAGCCAACGGGGACATCGCAACTACGATCGGGCGAAATTAACAACGCGACAATTCAGGGGGCGGAGCCACCTCCCCCCACGCACAAGCAGCACCGTTACCATCTCCGGCGCAGAGTATAAATACCGCACGCACCGCCGATAACCTCCCAGTGTTCGAAGTGTTTTCGGAGCGCGAGCATTGAAGATGCCAAGTGAGATTTTGGCGAAACGTCTGCAGGATTCCAGTCGGATGCAAGATTTGCAGGATTCCAGTCGGATGCAGGATTCCAGTCGGAGTTCAACGAGCGAACGGATGATATCCCGGAATATAGTGTCATCACATTTTTCCATCCGTGAATCAATACGTGAGAATATATATATATATATATATATATATATATATATATATATATATATATATATATATATATATATATATATATATATATATATATATATATATATATATATATATATATATATATATATATATATATATATATATATATATACATATATATATACATATATATATATATATATATATATATATATATATATATATATATATATATATATATATATATATATATATATATATATATATATATATATATATATATATAATTAGAGCGTCTTGGACAGGTAACATGCTTTGAGCGTCACCTTCGTATGTCCTTCCCAAAGCCCGCCATATAGCGCCAGTACACTTGATAAACATTAGGGCGTCACTGGTATATGTTTTCCCATATACTTATTCGCTTTTAAAGCGTCAACAGCGTGCCTACATTTTTTAGATATTCTCGACGTTCAACTTTTAACGTATTTATATGAGCTCCAGTTAAAAAATCCCTCCACATAACATTGTGGATCCGAGATTTTAGAGTCCGTAGGATATTTTAATTTTTTTGTTTGGAAGCATTTCAATTGTTTTTTACGAATTTTTCTAATCTATCTGTCAAAAGGAAAGATTTGAATTTTAAGATGAAAAATGGTATATCATTTTTAGAATGTTTGAATGTTTTAGAACCACAGAGTGTTGAAAATGAAATTTAGCAAAACTAAATATTTTTTCTAAGAAAATTCCACAAACTACAACATCCTATTGGCTTCTTCCGAGTTTAACTGAAACTGGCTCGTATTTTATTTACTCTATACCTGCTCATATATTGTTTGAGGGGTGGAGGAATCGAAGGAATGGTATGAACAAACGTAATTTGTTCTTTGACTGATAGAAGAGATTTTTGGACATGTGGTAAATCTAATTTTGAATTTATATTTCTTAAAAACTTTTGATATGTTATCAGTAATTTTTTGAATGTGAGAGTCCGAAAGCAACCCTACACTTGCCGTTGTTGTCGTTCCTTACAACCAAAACATTGCTGGCCACATATTAAAAGTTAAGGAATATAACGTGAAATCCGGTAAATCGGGTTTAACATTTTTAAATTTTAATTAATATTTTCATTCTGGAATTCGGACATCCAATTTTTGGAGTCTATTTAGATTTTTTTTATAGTTGAATAGCTCACTTCAAACAATACAACAATCGAAAAGTATAATTTTTAAGAAACACTAAAATCTAGTTAACGAAAAATGGAATGTTTTGTTGGTGCGAATAATTATTTAGTATAGTTATTAGTTTTTGGTTTTTAAAATGAACGATTCAGTAATTCGACACGTTTCAGTTATCTCAGGTGGCCCCTAATGAATGCACCAAAAGCCAATCCTAAATTAAACTCGCAAAAATAATGATTTTGAGCCAAACGTGCTCTAGGAAAATGTCGCTCACTGAGTGTTAAAGTTTAGTTATCGACAGCAATTTTTAAAATATCGACAAGAAAACTTGGATTTCGAGGTTTTTCGAGAAGGTGAATAAGATCACATTCCAGTTTCTAAGATGATAACTTTAGTTACAGTTAAGTGGTATAATGACGTAATTTTATCACTCATCTCCACAAAAAATCGGCAACAATGCTGTGTCACTAACTTTTATTATTAATTTGATTTGGGTATATACCAGGTGATACAATTTACTGACAAATATTTTTATTATCCCTATGGCATATTAATCAGTGGAAGTAAGTTTTTATTCAGTTTCAAAAAGTATCTTTTACTTTAACTTATGAAAGTCAACGCTAATATCAATGTGAATGTATTCATTTCTTCATTGAAGATTGAAAAAGGGAGAAAAAACTAATAGTGAATTGCGTTTCGGAAGCTGGACCTGCTTGCCGGAAAGCCGAAAGAACGCTCGGTCGTACCGGTCGCGTACTTGCGGATCGTATATTTAAAACATCTGAATTTTAGGCAAACGTTTTGAGACAATATATTACAATAATTAATCCGCACACACAAGTAAAATACCGATTTCGATTGCTTTTTAGCGCATTACTTACGGACAACCCTAGATGGCAAATTACACTATTTATAAACTATTTTGTAATTGTACTAATTGATTTTTTTAATTTATGTATTATTTTATGATAACTACCATATTTTTGTTCCTTATTAGTTTAAGGTGAATGCTTATATAAAAAAAATTATAAAGGAATTATGTGGCATTCCGTGGGAATCAAGTGGAATTCAGAGGATTTCCGAAAATTTATCACTCGAAGAAGAATTTTGGTGTACACATAAGGATTTTTAAATATATTTTTCAAAATCTTGAAGTCATACATATGTGTAGGAGAATAGAAAAAATTGTTCCATTTTTTCTGTCATTAGCGCTTGGCCTATTCTGGTTATTATATTTATTCTTGTCATTTCACACATCACACAAACACACGCGCACACACACACACATTAACTATTCAAACTAGTACTGTTCCACAAAAATATTATTTATTAAAAAAAAACTAAAGCTAGAGACAAAACAAAATAAAATTTACAATTCCTTCATCAGTGATCTATCCATCTAGAAAAGCATTTGCAAACAAAAAAGTTGCGATTTTACTTTAAACTCCTTTTCTTTATATATTCATTTTGAACGAAGGCTTTGATTTTTGGCCAGTCTTTATTGTCGAACAGTCCTGGATATTTTTCTTTCAGTGCTAAACATTCAAACTATTTGGGAGGTTGACATTTTTTTTATATGTTTGGAAAAGTAATGAATGACTTCCCTGTTTTCTCAATTCTCAAGAGCAAATTTTGTCCTTTCGCTTGGTGTAATTTATCCGATGTTCCCATGTATTTTTTCCTGTGACGCCAAAGCTGCTTTGAGGTAAAAAAACCTTTACGGTTTGTGCAGGGTAATATTTTTTGGCTAGACTGTTGTTTTCTAACAGGCTTCTGAAACAAGCTACTATTTAAAAAGTTGCCTTTTCTTCTTAAGAAATTCAACAATTTTCTTCTTTCAGGATCTCTAGCTGACAAAGAG